AGTTCATGTTAATTAATTTCAAAAACAATTTTATTTAATTACATCTAACTCCACTGAGGTTTAGGGACTTTTAATTGATAGTGCCAACTATGTAATGTTGGTTGCCTACGGGGCTATACATAAATATGGATTCCAACCCGCACATTATGTCCAGCAATTCCAACTTTTTGAATGAAATTATGTCCTCTAATTGAACTGGTAGACCGTATTGGACTTAAACGTCGTGAGAATGGGGTAAGAACCGTTGCATCAATCCGGCCGCTTATTCATGTTCGGATTCGGAACGGCTGTGTTATTCGAGTATTAATTACTTCTCGATTCGAGTGTTCCCCTTAAAATACGCCAGCAGCAGACAAGTGCTGACGCAACCCCGACCGCTGCCAACGGAAACCTTCTTCAGAGGCTCAATTAAGTCTCAAGTGAGAGTGTGTTTGTGGAAAAACAGACCACTTCACCCGGGCAAGAGTGCTGGGCCTTGATTTTTCCCCGCATAGATGGACGTGATTCACATTCGCCTGACGTCAAGGCGTAAGTGATATTGGCGCACGTAAATTTATACAACATGTCGATGGAATTTAATGCCCGTTGATGTATCAGGTGAAATTCGATCCTCCCGTTTCCTCATAAGGGTAATGGAACGGTGAGGTTAGGACAATAGATCGTCGCGGTGTTCTTATATTGCACAGGCAAACAAGTCCGGCAGTGCCCACTGTGATGAACAAATCAGTTTTGCTTCATACCTACGTTATAGTCCAGTTACCAGGGGTTTTACCTCTGAATTCTTTATAACTGAACCGAAGGACGTGAAATTTTAACTGAATGTGGGGAATGCTTCAAGGAACAAAACTTATATAGTGCCGAAATGTGCTTTTGCCCTGGGGGTGGTTCCCACCCCTTCTTGGGGGTCGAAATTTTTACGCCCAAAATAATCACAAGAATCGATAGAGGAGTCAATTTTAAGTAACAAATGTTATATAAAGTTTTTTGGATAATCTAATACTTTCCGAGTAATTCGTCATTGAAGATATTGATTTTTTACTGAAAAAGTGCTTGTTTTCGGACAGTTTTTTGCAAATAATTCTGAAACCATTGGGTTTAACGAAAAAGTTGTAATGAACAAAAAGAAAGGTAATAAAAAAATAAATTATTACATTATTTTGTTTTTCTCTAATTGCAATATAAACCGAGTTATGGATGTTTAAACTTTAAAGCTAAAAACTAAATTGGAACCAGTTAACGTTAAATAACGCCGAAACCATAAATATTAGGAAAAAACTATTTTTAAAGTACTTTAAAAAACCTTTAAAATGAGCTGTTTTAAAAGTCTTTAGAATAAAAATTAACGGAAATATGATCGAAATAACATGATAGTATGATTTTTTTTAAGAAAAAATTAATAAACAAATCGGTGCCCTTGGCGACAGAATTAAAATTAAATGCAATCCATTTACAGATTTCTTCATTTATGTTCTAAGAATATGTTCTGGGTCTTTGGCTCACTTACAAAGCATGATTTCGAAAAAAAAACTTAATTTTTGAATATGTTAATTATTCAAATTTTAAAAAAAAATCGATTTTTACGTTGTAACTTAAAAATTAAAGGGTGTACGAAAAAATACAAGAGTAAAAAAATTTAGCTTTATTTTTGCTGATGATTTTGCTTATTTTTATTATTCCTCTAAAATTAATATTAATCGAGATATCGCCATTTTAAGTTATCATATGAATGAGAGAACCACCCTTTTCGAGCCCTTTAAACCCTTCAAACTTAAAAATGAAGGGCTTAAAAAAGATCAACTCAACAGTTTACGTAGCCCTTACAATTCCCTGCAAAATGAGCCTTTGTGCGATTAAAAATATTAAAAAGTAAGATAGTTATCGTCGTGATAATTTTAGGAAAATTTAGGTCAAACAACAATTTTGAAGCATTTAGATCTTTTTTGTATATATAAGTATTTAGTATGTGTATATTTGAATAAACCAGTATTATACTATATTATAACTACTATATTATAATAAGGGAATAAGTGTTTATTTTATACGAATGTACATTTAAAATGTTTCTACTCTTTCAATAATATTTTTTCATTTTATTCATTCGAAGGAAGGGTATTTTTCAAGGGTTGAAAAGTTGCAATCGATAAAAAAGAATTTTTAATCAAGAACTCAATTTTAATTTGATAAAAATGCATGATTAAAACATTTCAAGTTGAAAATAAAAATTTTTACATTATCTTCATCCAAAGGGGTGGATTTTAAAGGTTTTTCCGGGTTGAAAATTTGGGATACATTAAGTTTCATGTTAGATAGCACATGAAATTATTCATGCTGCATAAATAAACAAGATTTGATTACATAAAATGCTTAAATTTGTATTTTTTCTTTTTTCCAATAAGGGGTGGTTTTCACCCCTTAAGAACAAAGAGCACGCTTAGCGCATATATAAGTTTTGAAGTGGGGGGTAAGATGAACCTAATTCTAACTTTTGAGAAAAATCGATGCAGTTATAAAAAATTCGGAGGTATTACTATATTTTCACGTAAATGTTATCAAATATATTAAAATTTACTTCCATTTGGTCAAAATTACTTTCCGTTTTCTTAAATTTCCGACCGGCACGATTTGTCAATTCAGAGACGTCCGGATTTTGTGTGTTTGTTGTTGTATTTATTTGTGTTCGCCGATTGTGTTTTTATTTGAATTTATGGGTAATCTTCTAAAAATCAGGGTTTTTCAACGTTAATCAACTGTTAACTGTTAGTTTTGTGGTAAAGAAGCAAATACTGATATAAAGTACTCGAATTGTTTTGGGTTAGAAAATGGTGTTTTCGTTAGAAGACGATAAATTTATTGTAGACGAATACTTTCAGAGTGGCCAACAAGATGAAAATGGATTCAATCCATTTATGTTTTTTTTTATAATTATTCTAGGAAGAGTTTCCAAATCATGAGGCAACATGTTCGACGTTTGGTGACACGATTTAGAAATACTGGCAGTGACAAAACATTTTGCAGCCATTTTTAAATCAGCTAGATGATGACGAATTGCACAGTGGTTACTTTCAACAAGATGGAGCAACAGCACACACACCTAACACAACACTGGAGTTCCTAAGAGAATTTTATGACGATCGCATTATTAGTCGAGGCTTATGGCCTCCAAGATCTCCGGACTTAACTCTCTTAGATTATTATCTCTTTGGAACATTAAATTCCATATAGTTATGGAAACCGTTTACACACAGTGGATGAACAAAAGGATGCTAGAAGAAATAAGTTAGCTAATATTACAGAAAATTAATTACATAATGTATTACAGTTTAAGAAGACGAGTAAATTTGTGTATACAGAACGAATGCAGACATTTTGAACTGTTATTATGAATAAAATGTAAAAATATTAAATATTTTTATTCATTTCAATGTTTAAATAGTTAGAAATTATAACAAATTAATTACAAAAATTATTGTTACTGGTAGGGACACAATTTTGGTCAAAATTAATAGTACTTACATATTCACTTTTTTTAACTAAACCAATAAAGCAATATTATTTTAACATGTTCATTTTATGTTAAAATTTAAGAAATTTGGAAACGATTTTTTTTATTAACATTCCTAAATGAGGAAAATAAACGTAAATTCATTTAAAAATTGTTGCTTTTACTTTGAAGTACGTATAAAAAAACTAAATAGATAAATAGTAATTGTCCAAAATCAAATCTTATGTTAGTTTTGAGGTTAATAATAATAATAATATCTAAATCATTTTTATTTAATCCATCTTAACAAGTTAATAAACCCCTTAAATAAATTAATGCCAACATTCCGCTTTGTGTGTTGTATTTTTGCGATTAAAGTGAATTTGTGACCCTATTGCCACAGTGCTTAACCCGCCACTGAACGAAGTAAATCACTGTCAGTGTTGTTAGAGAAATGAAATTTATATGTAATAATTTGCATTATACAGGGTGTTAATTAAGTATGTACAATAAATTCAACTGACGATTATTTTAGTGATTTTAAGACAAAAAGTTCATATAAACAATGGTCCGCAGATGCTTCGTTTTCAAGATACAGGGTGTTAAACTTTTGTAAAAAATTGCTATTTCGTAAATATCTTAAATACCATTTACCCAATTTTGTTGTAATTTGGCAGTGCTATTTGTAATTTATGTTCATTAGATGTTGCATGTTATTAATAAAAAATTATAAAAAATGATAATTTCCAAAAGAAACCTTTCCCCATCTTTCTTGTGTGGTGCAGGGATATGCAATTAAGTGGATTTTATGTTAATCAAGATACGAAAAACATTCTAGAGACAAAAAAGTTGTACTTTTAGTTGCTTAATTCAAAAAAGTCAGTAGCGTACATTTTTTTTGTCAAAAATATTTGTACCGCTCGGGACGCCACTAATAAATCTAATCAAGTTAGAGTTAAATTAGCCCTTAACACTACAAATGACATTGCCAAATTACAACAAAAATGGGTAAAGAGTATTTCAGATATTTACGAAAGAGCAATTTTTTTACAAAAGTTTAACACCCTGTATCTTCAAAACGAAGCATCTGCGGACTAATATTTATCTGAACTATTTGTCTTAAACTCAAATAATCGTCTGTGAAATTTATTGTAACGAGCGTTCAAATAAAAACGTGGTCAAGTTGGTTCTGAAAATTTGGACGTAGGGCGTAGCGTATAGCAAATGAACTTAAGGCTCATCTGNGGTTAAGTTGGTCGCTATAAGCTACTCCCTACGTCCAATGTGTCAGAGCCAACTTCGACCACGTTTTTATTTGAACGCTCGTTACATACTTGATTAACACCCTGTATATTTTGTGTAGAACTCCCAAGACAATTTCTATAAACTTTGTGAACATTTACAAAACCATTTTGGAAATTTTTAGTCAACAGTGTCGGAGCAGTGTAATTTTTTAATATAATTTTGTACTCGTTATTTCTCCAGTACCTATTTATATTAATTACTTGTTTTGTTTCAGGATATCTATTATTTAAGGACTTTTGTGAAAACGTTTCGGAGGAACCAGTGCCCCAACTCAGGTTTTATGAAGAGGTGAGTTTCGAATTTATTCGCATGCTTTATTAAATTAATTACGCCCAAATAATGTAATATACAACAAATTTATTCGCAGCTTTAATTATCTTATTTAAGATGGCACGATATTCGTAAACCCTCAATGAAAGGGTTTAAAGTTACTCTCTTCTCGAGCGAGCGTATATTTTTAGAAAATCTTTAATGAAACGACGACGGTGACAACTTTGCCGAGCGGAGGGTGGTAGGCGTACGTAAATGCCCGGCTCGGATATAAACCCTTTAAACTTTCATTCGGGCATCCATTACAGACGGACAACCCCATTAGGTTGCGGTAATTCCTAATGTAATTCGGCCATCACGTAGGATGTCAATGGAATAACGTCCAGGTCCGCTCAGAAGCAGTGGGAACGTGCCGAGTGTTCCTACAGGGCGTAATAACAAACAATGGTCATTGAAAACATTATTTCCAGGAAAAATTCGAAAGGGTTATCTGGTGATCCAGAGAGCCACCCATTTTTAAGAGAATCTACTAGTTTCTTGCTTAAACTTCAAAAATAATACAGGAATGTAGAGAAAATAGCACCTCCTATCTATTTTTCGTTATATGAGAGGAAAAGTTAAATTTTTACGAAAAAAATGTTTTTTTTTTTAAACAAACAGCTCAAACAAAAAACACTCTTTTATTCTTTTCTAGAATAAGAAATATCTTTTTCTACAAGTATTGCTACAAAACAAAATTCACTGCTCAAACTAATCAATTGACGGTCCCTATATAACAATAGATCAAAATAATTCTACAGGGTAGGAAAGTACCGATGGTCTATCTGAAGTTACGTGAGAGCGATAAAGTAAGCCATAGAAATACATGCGATAGAGAAGGATGGCTATAATGAAGGCGTCTCATAGTCACCGCCCGTTTCGCCGTTCCACAAATAAGATTCACTTCTTATTTGTGGAAGGGCGAAATGGGCGGTGACTATTAGACGCCTTCATTATAGCCATCCTTGTCTATCACATGGATTTCTATGGCTTACTTTATCGCTCTCACGTAACTTCAGATAGACCATCGGTACTTTCCTAC